CACGGTCTCTTGCACCTTTCTTTCTTCCCTCCTTCCCTTGCTTGCTCCTTTCCCACCTTCTGCTTGCTCGCATTCGTTTCCGGAGGAAGCAGTCATTCAGAAGCCCTGGATTGATTGATTGCCCGGGGCTAATCCCCACCTGTAACCAATTAGGGAGGCTTATCTCTCCGATCTCTAACAGAACAGAGCATTTAGAAGTGCCCTGCTGCAAGCAAGGAAGTAACAGAGAGAGGTGCTTACAATTTTAGGTTTGGCTGCAGAGGGTGGGGGTGGGAGGGAGGGAGGGAGGGGGGTAGCACTCTGCTCATTACCCCCAGGATTTTCACTTTTACCCCATTTGGGGTAATTTACCCCTGTTCCCCGACCTATGCTCTAGGCTCTATGGTGTTGCCGTCACAGCAGTCAGAAATGAACTAAGGAGGGACATGTGCAGGTGGCTAGGGAGGAGGAGAAAGTGCTGGACATGCCAGCTCTAGAGCAGGGTTCTTAACCTTTGTTACTCAGGTGTTTTTAAACTGCAACTCCCAGAAACCCCAGCCAGCAAAGCTGATGGCAAAGGCTTCTGGGAGTTGCAGTCCAAAAACATCTGAGTAACAAAGGTTAAGAACCACTGCTCTAGAGCAGTGGTTCTTAACCTGGGTGATATTGCCCCCCAGGGGGCAATTTTATTTTTTTTCATGGGGGCCATGGAACGAAAAGGGGCAATGCGGGGGAAAAGGAGTATTAGATAGATAAATGGTGGCTTTTCTCCTGTTTGACAGGGAAAGTACTGCATTTAATGTTCTCATGTTAGTTAACACTAATATGTTAAATGCAAGCTCTGAGCAAACTGGTTGTCTTTGGGTGTCGTATATACACATCTGAGAAAGGAAGAAAAATAATGTGAGGAAGGTCTAACACCACCCACAGTCATCAAGCAGGCCCAGAGAGATTCTCCCTGAAGGGAAGCAGCCCTTGATGGAAAAGACGAGAGGAAGCAGCACTAAAATAATAAAAAGGGGAGCAATACAGAAGCATCATAAAGAACTACTCAACTCTACCAGTAAACAGGTCTTTCTATTAATTAATATGTTTAAAAAACCCTCTGAATGATTATACTGTGTGGTATACTGAATGCTACTTTTAGCCATAGTTCTTCAGGGTTTTTTGAGGGCAATTTGAATTCAAGAATTCTTTCAATTTTAGACAAAGAAACATTCACAGTTGGTTATAATTAACTATGTCTTTTCAGTTTCAGTTTCTCCTCATGTAACCATACAACACAGATAAGTCTTTTGTTTTCACATTTTTTTAAAAAGAATCTATTACCCTCCAAAATTCTGTATATTAAAACTTGATACAAACATACTGCTGTGTTACCAAATACAGTGGTGCCTCGACTTACAAGCGTCTCTACTTATGACCATTTTGAGTTATGACCAGCTCCGGTTGCAAAATTTTGCTTCTACTTGCGACCGGAGCTTCCACTTACGAACACAAAAAGTCAGAAAGGCGGGAA